GGCCTTGAAGGGAAAACTCAGAGGCAGAAAGAGTTGTCACGGTGAGCATCCCCAACTGTGTTGCTGCCTAATCCTCCCTCCTGGATTCCACACACAACCTATCTACAGGGAGAGAGTTATCCCACCAAACACCACCAGGATGTGGCTCTCAATCTCTTGCCCACATTCTCCCACCCAACTGCTTTCATCCTCCAGGTCAGCTGGACTGGCAGATGATCACCAGAGGGTCATTCCTGAAGATTCTCCACTTCAATTCCACTTCACACAAAACAGTAACTTGTGAACATGCTCATGCTATGGAAAAGACCAGCACCACTGCTGGTGGGAGTGTAGACTGGTGCAACCACTATGAAAATCAGCATGGAGATACCTCAAAGAACCAGGATTGCAGGTCCCATTTGACCCTACTCTCCCCCTGCTGGGTATCTTCCCCAAAGAATTAAAAGAATCATACCACAGTGATATATGTGCACCCAGGTTCATAGCAGCACAGTTTGTAATAGCTAAAATTTGGAAGCAGCCCAATTACCCATCAATTGCAGACTGGACAAAGAAAAAAAGTTTTCAATATATAAAATGGAGTACTACTCAGCCACAAAGAATGAAAAACTAGACACATTTATAGCCAAATGGATGCACATTGAGATAATACTCAAGTGAAATAAATAGGTTGCATATGTGTAAATACTGAATAGTTTCTCTAGTGTGAGAAATTGAAAGTATAAATAAGAACTAAAAGGTATAATAGATAATGTGAAATATTGACAAAGGAGCTGACCATCCCCACTGGAGGAAAGATAGCCTCTTTAATAAATGGTGTTGGAAGAACTGGATCTCAACCTGCCAAAGATTAAAACTAGACCTTTATCTTTCACCATACACTAAATTAAAATCCAAGTGGATTAAAGATCTAAATATTAAAACAGAAACACTAAACTTGCTGGAAGATAACTTAGGCAGAACTCTGGAAGACAATGGCATAGGAAAAGACTTTATGAACAAATCCTCCATAACATGGGAACTAGCAGAAAGAATCAACAACTGGGATCTCATCTTATTAAAAAGCTTTGGCACTGCAAAAGAAACCATCAACAGAACTAAGAGACAATCTACAATGCGGGAAAAAAATTATACCAGCTGCTCCTCAGACAAAGGACTATTACCTAGAATATATAAAGAACTCAAAACAATCAGCCCCTCAAATATAAAGACCCAATTCAAAAATGGGCATCTGAAATGAACAGACATTTCTCAGTCAAAGAAGTAAAACCATCAGGTAAATATATGAAAAAATGTTCCACATCACTGGTCGAGAGATGCAGATGAAAACAACACTGAGATTCCACCTCACCCCACAAAGAATGGCTGCTATCAAGAAATCAACCAATAACAAATGTTGGCGGGGTTATGGGGAGAAAGGAACCCTTCTCCACTGTTGGTGGGAGTGCAGACTGGTGCATCCACTATGGAAATCAGTATGGGGATACCTCAAAGAGCTGGGACTAGAGGCTGCATTTGACCCAGCCATCCCTCTGCTGGGTATCTTTCCAGAAGAATTAAAAGAATCATATCACAGAGACATATGCATTCCTATGTTTATAGCAACACAGTTTGTAATAGCTAAAACTTGGAAGGGGCCGGGGATTTAGCTCAGCGGTTCGGTGGCCTGCCTTGCAAGCGCAAAGACCCGAGTTCAATCCCCGATACTTAAATAAATAAATAAATAAATAAAACCTGGAAACAGCCCATTTACCCATGAGTTAGAAACTGGATAAAGAAGATGTGGTTTTTCTATAAAATGGAATACTACTCGGCCATAAAGAATGAGAAATTAGATTCATTCATAGGAAAATGAATACATATTGAGGATATATTCCTAAGTGAAATAAATAAACCACACAGGTGTAAATGCCAAATAGTTTCTCTGATGTAAAAAAACTATAATTGTACATAAGATCCTAATGACGTAATTGACAATGTGAAATAGGAAGAAAAGAGCTAAAGGTGTAGGGATAGTCGGAAGGCTAGGGGAAAGGTAATAATGGAAAAGAAAAAAATATGAGAAAATGAAAAAATGGAAATAAAGTGTTAGTAAATGGGGAGGGGAGGAGGGGGTGAAGGGAGGACAGGGACAAGGGGAACAAATGAGGACCAAGACCTGTCATGTAAAGGTACAAGATCCCAATAATGAATGTAATTGTACTGTATGCCTAGAATGTACCAATAAACTCAATGAGAGAAAAAAAAAAGACGTGGCCACAAATACAGTCTACTTTTTTTCACCATGATTAACTCCCCCCCAACACACACACACACACACACACACACACACACACACACACGAGCACACATTCCAAAAACCTCTGAAACACAAAAGCATCACCGCATCACCTAAAGTAATTCTGTAAGCAGTTCTCTTAAAAACACTAACTGGTTCAACCTGACAATTTCCCTGGATAAGACAGCAGTTTACCAAACCAGAGTTTTCTATTATCCACTGCTCCCTCTGTCAACAACCTCCTTAGAGAGTAAGACTGTGGGGGATGAGGGGGCTTAACAGTTTCTAAAAATTTATTGCCATTTCTGAAATGTATAGTTTTCCTTTAGATGCCAATTTAAACACAACCTCAAGAGTCAGCTTATATTGCTTTTTTTTTAATAGTAACTTTTTTTTTTTTTTGAGACTGCCCTGGAACTCACTATGTAGCCCAGGCTGGTCTCGAACTCACAGTGATCCTCCAGCTTCAGCCTGCGAGTGCTGGGATCACAGGTGTGCGCCACCACGCCTGGCTCAGTTTATATTGCTTATTCCCTATTTATTCTCTTTCCATCAAAACTATAAAAGAGGATTACACAAAAGTCTGTCAACAAGTAAATGACAAGTAAGGATGTTAAATATTTCATATTATAAATATATTTAAGAGACTACAGAGTAACACTAACAATCCTAACAACACAGAGAACAGCCCAAGGGTTTAACATGCAAAACACACATACTCACTCAAAATGAAGCCACACTATAGTTAAGCCAAAAGAAGAAAATGTAACTCATCTTCCACATTTTTTAGTTTCACTAAACCAGAATAAATTGAAAGCAATTTGAAAAAGAACTGAATGGACTATACATAATGAAGTTATATGACAATATCCACATTTTACAGGCAAGAAGTTAGAGGATTTAAATACTTGATGCAATAAGAGGGTAAAATCACTTTTAGAAGAAAATAAAGCCTTACAAAAAGAAACATTCTAACCACGTGTTTTGCGAGTCCTTTCCTATTAAGGAAATGGAACAATATTTTAAAGATAGCCCAACTAATTAGGCATAACATGTGAAGTCAAAATTTCCTCACATTTTTCCCTATGATGAGATTTAAGTACATAAAACATTATATTATTCTCCTAAAGGAAAGGCTTGCTCATAATTTCTTCACACCTAGGTCCTTATTAAAACACCCACACGATAAAGTCATAATGGCGTTACTGGGCACATGGACATGTCTGAGTAACTATTTTTCTGTTTGTAAATCATCTCCATTCCTCTTTCTTTACATATGTAAATTACGGTGTCTGATCCACAGTCCCCACCAGCCACCACAAGCAAATTACCCTCAAGGGACATCAATGGGCTTGTTATTCTTGTTTTGGCCATAAAGTAACAGGGGGAGGAGAGGGGAAGTAGATATTTTCAGTAATCAGAATTCCCTTTGACTAGATTTCTGTTTATTCCCTGAAATGGGCTACCCTCTGCGTGAAAGGTATAATGAATGTATGGTAAAATGAAATGTTTGGCCTTTTAGAGCCAAGATATGGCACAGTATTTTTGATATAAATTGCTTCAAGTAATATATGCCTGGTTTTGTAGGAAGCATTTGGCCAAATTCTAATATTCCCTCTTGGGACCCAGTCCCAATTTCCAGCAGCAGGGCTAACCTGGCAGAATAGAATTTTAAACAACACACACATAGTCATATCTTCTAATGGATGTCTTTTTTTTTTTTTTTCCTCCTACTCTGAGACACCTTACGTGATGCTTACTATTTAGAATACAGATTTTTTTTGTTAGGTAATAAATTTACCACAAATGCACAGAATTCCCCTTTAGACCAACAGAAGAAAAAGAAGAAGAAGAAGGAGGAGGAGGAGGAGGAGGAGGAGGAGGAGGAGGAAGCTGGGGTGGAGGAAGAGGAGGGGGATGATGTAAGAAGAAGGAGGAGGAGGAGGAGGAGGAGGAGGAGGAGGAGGAAGAGGAGCTGGAGGAAGAGGAGGAGGTGATGATGATATGATTTCTACTGAGGTTTAGCTGTAGCTGTCACTGCTTAGGCTTATGAATCATTACACCATTAATAAGAATAAATAGCACAGGCTTATTTCCATAGGCTGCAAATGTTAGCTGAAAAAACACATGCTATAGGGCTTCCTAATACCCAAACAGGATTGTCTACAGGCAGAAATTATTCCATTTTAATAGTTTTCCTTGACTGTAATAAATGCTTTTATTTCCATGCCCTCTGAAAACTTGAAAGAGGATACTTTCATTTTTCTTTCATTAAAATGTACACACAATTTTATTCCAAACCTTACACAAGATATAATCAGGGGAAAAGGAAAAGGCTCACTGTAATATTGCACTCATCTGGTTGCATTAGGCTCAAAATACAAATCTCAAAGATATACATTTATCACGTCAGCTCAAGCTGAAGGCATCCACCAAGAGAATATTTTCACTATTCATCTGGCAGCCAGAATCTATTTCCACAAACCTGCATACTGATGAGAGCCAAAGTTCTCAGTACTGCTCTCCATTTCTTTTTCATAATACCTCTTCTTTCTGTAGAGAAGCCATTTTACTAATTTATAAGCACCCTGACTATCCAACCATCTAAAAAAATGTACTCATCAATAATAGTCAACTAAAAGCAGAGCATATCCCACAGGGGTTAGAGAAATAAGACAGGAAACACTAGCATATATTGATTAGCAAGACTCCTGATACTCACTGAAGGCAGCCACGGCAAGGGCCAGTGTGACAATAATGGAGAACCAAGACACCCACAATGCCTTCTTTCTGTAGTTCTGTGCTTCATGGGGCTTTAGCCGGGTGCTGCTTTCTAGCAAGCCTGACAAAAACAAGGAGAAAAGGAAGTTAAGCATTTCCTTATTAGGAAACCCACTGCCAGAATTATAATTTCTTATCCAAAGATTGCATGCAAACTGACAGTCCGTGAGCCAAGATGTGTTTTGTTTGGCCCACACTGTGTTTTCACAATTAGGAGACTTCACATGAAAAAGAAGCTTTCTGGAATCCCTTTGTAAAAATCACAGGTTCTGGTCATATGGGGCATATATTTCTGCAGGGTGACAACAGCTGCCCTCTTTAGAGACCCACAGACGCCACTACTCCAACATGTCACACCAGGTCAGTCTCTTGCCCCTGTGTGCTGTCACTTGGCTCAGGTAGAAGCTACTCCATCCAATAAGGCCCTTTCATTTAGGAAGACAGCATGGCACTCAGTGGCACTTTGGGCTCTTCAGCTGTGGGTACTGATTGGCCTGGATCCACCAGCATGGTCTTAAAAATTCCCAAAGCAAGGAATCATAGACTACAAACCCCTTCTCTGACCCCTGGCAACTAACAGGAAGGAATGGACCATTTCTCTTCAACCACAGCCTACAACAGCCACAGGACCAAATTAGATGCCATGTTTTCTTCCCTCCTCCCTTTATACCATCACTCATCAAAAAACTCTTGGAACATTGAAGGGGAGTAAACCTGCTAAAAGCAGAGGTAGCTTCCTAGCTTCCTAGGTAGGCCATGTGTAGGACAGGTGTTTTTTTGTTTGTTTGGTTGGTTGGTTGGTTTTTTGTTTTTTGTTTTTTGGTTGTTTTGTTTGTTTGTTTGGTCTATTTTCTGCACATTGAGAGTCCTTGACAATGATACAAAAACACAACTTCCAGGCAATGCTCAAGCTTCTCCCCACTGGGGTCAAAGATTAAAACATCTTCAGTATGATCTCGATTTATATTTCTTTCTTCTCCTTTGAAAATAAATCAAACATGGCATCTCTTAGCTGAACAGAGAATCAAATTTTCAGTCATGTGCTGTCTGTAAGCAGAAGCTTCTTATATCAGCTTTGGCTAAATATCACTGAATATTCCCTTCTGAGGCTAAGCAGCCTCATCATACCCAAAAATGAAGGATCTGGCAGTCAAAGCTTAAGCACTCATCTGAAAAAAATCACACCTATCCATCATCTCATTAGTTTGACGGGATACCACACTGTCTCTAGTTGGTACAGAGGCAGAAAGGGTGTGATACCTTCCCTTACCTAGAAGGGACATAGCCAACACACCTACAGCAAAAGCCAGGTTAAGAGGAGAGAAAGTGTGACAAATGTATTTCATCAGAGTTCTTTGTAACATGGGAGCCTTCAGAAATGAAAACCCAAAGACTCATGGAAAGCTGTCGTATTTTTATGCATAAATTTGATGAAAAATAGAGAATTGTGTAGAAGTACAACTGGACAAAGGGTTATGAGCTAATGGTAACAAACTGAGGAGAGAAACTCAGCAAGTCCCGCCTGTGAGATTCATTTTGGTCTCTGTGTGGTGTTCTTTCCTCTTGGGTAGGGGTCAGGATCCCTTTCAGAATGAAGTCTTACGATCTGCTACCAGACAAGGTAGGTCAGAAAATTTCTCTGTGACCAGCTGTGACACAGAAGGGATGGGAGGTCAGAGTAATATTTCCAGGATGGCTATAAGGAAAGGGGTTCTACTTTCTATGACCCACCTAGGGAAAGAAAAATTCCAATTTACCCAAACTACTTGGGAGAGAAGGGGGAGCAAGAGAAAGAAAATTAAAAGGGCAGAAAACACATTGCCTTTGAAGCCCTCAATGTCCTTCAATGCAGGATCCTGTGCATGCCAACGTGCCTTACTTTGGAGCATTATTTTCTGAGCTCCAACATGACCAAAAACTGTATCCTGTTTTAAAAAGTATAACAAGGATCCTGCTGAAACTTCTCAGCTCCATCTATTACCCAGACCAAAGCATCTTCGAGCACATCCCTAACACACCAGTAGACACATGGGCTTAGTAAACCCAGGTCACAGTCCAGGAGATTTTTTAACTGATCAAAATCTGTGGGCTCGTGTTGGAACCAACAGCAGACATAGATAAAAATGCAAATAGTAAGTATAACACCATTTCCACCATCTCACTGTAAAGGTCTCCCCAAATCTTCCTTTATACATGCACTCAAATGGACAAAAAGACAAACCTCATCTCTTGTCACATTCTGCCCTAGGTACAGATGATTTCAAATGAAAACACAGCATGTCCCTTTGTCTGCTTCTTCCTTAGCTACTGAAAAATACCCCACTCTAATTTTTTTTTCAGCTTTAATTGAGTTTATTGGTACATTTTAGGGATATGGTACAGTTACATTCATTGTTGGAATCCTGTACCTCTACATGACAAGTCTTGATTCTCATTTTTTCCCCTTACCCCTTCCCTCCCTTCACCTACTCTAATTTTTAACTATCATAACCCTCCTGTCCAGGTGGAGCCATAACCTAGAATGAACAGATCCCATACACACCAATGATTTATTTTCCTTTTTCCAAATGATAAAAAAAAAAAATCTTCCTCTCATTCTGACCAACTGATTTTCAGAGGCAGTTGCAACATTTAACTATAGACTCAAACAAGCAGTTCATTTGCAAGGTACTTTGATTGTAATAAATTCAAGGTGGGGGAAGCTTACCTGCAAGGTTCGTTTTAGAAGCGGATTTAATTTTCCATGAAGGATAACCATGACCTAGGTCTTCCCTTCTGCCACATAACATTTCTTTTTCCTTCCAAAGCCAGCTGGTTTCAAGATACATCTTGCCCTAACGTGCATCTGGGCCCATCCTTGTGCCTCACCCACTCTGGGTCAGCAGTCCAGGCAAGGGTTTGGTTGGCAGCCATGGGAGCTACACTCTGAGACAGTCAGTAGTAGGACAGAGGCTCGTCCCCAGATGTGATCCTCAATGTGCCTCCCCTATGAAATTTTTAAATTGAAAAAATAATAATAACTGCAAAGAACTCACTATCCAAAAGAGGAAGGGCTACTTCATTTCTATGCACTAAAAAATGTGGTCAATACCAAAAACAGAACGCTTTCTACTCAAGGGAAAGTGGAGCAGGATCACCACCAAAGATCTAGATCTTAAATTAATGCATCATAAATAGTTGCCTCTACACCTGGGACAGGTGCGCCCGTTTGCACAAGCCACAAATACGGGGTGAGGTTTCCTAGTTTGCAGGTAGCTGTGCTTCAGAGGTGGAGGCAACGTGGCCTAGAGAGGCAGAACAGCCCAACAAAGTTAAGACAGGTCTCATGTTTGTATCTAGGGCTGGATGCTTCGTACCACAGCTGACCTCCACAATTGAATTTCTATCCTTGTTCAAATTTCACGTATTTGTAATTTGAACCTGGCAATGCTAAGCACAAGCTTATATAAATGAACTATTAGTCCCTTATTTGGAGGAGATAGGGAGGCAGAAGAAAGTATATGTGGGGAGCTTTAGGCTATCAGTCATTTCCAGACTAGTATAAATTAATCCCCATTACTTCCTCCTAGCTTTAATTCTCTTCAGGAAGAAGAATTTTTATTAGATGGGGAACTAGAGGGAAATGCTGAAGTCTGTCACTCTCTAAGTCTAAGTGGCCCCTAAGGCTTGGGACAGAATGATGGGGAAACAATTATGGGGAGAAAAGTGGACAAAAGAACAGGACAAAAGAAAATGTTAAGTAGGTGTATCAGAGGACTCCTTCCCCCACACACTGTAGGTATTTAGGCCTAGAAGAAAGTCAGCCCAACAGGACTGGCAGGAAGGGCTGAAAGAGCTGCACAGCAGGCAGCGGCCAAGGGTTACTCTTCCCTCATCCTTCTCACCACTGGGAAAGAGGTCGTAGCACTGAAACAATTCTCAAAAGGTAACAAAAATCAGTACACGGGAAGAAAACACAAAATATTATAACATATCTCTCCGGGTAACCTTCTGACTTATTTAAACAAAATGATTCATTTATTTTTAACTCTTTGCTGAAAGGAATGAGTCACACAAAAGAATGTCACACTGACTTTCAGCTAGCTGTCAATGGCACATGGCTCGGGGTTCTTTGGGGGACAGTAGTGCTCACCCTGACAGAGATGCTGTGTGTGACAGTCAATGCTTTCCCACAGTGATGGTTAATGAACAGCAAGTGCTTTCAGGCTACAGTATAATGGAAAATGAAATTCAGTTGGCCACTGGCGAATAACCTTAAGAATAATTCAAAAGAGCTTTTTACACTTGACCATGAGCTTCAAAACAATGCTGAATATTAACTCACTCTAGCACTTTTTCCCCCCTCCTATCATTTTGAGGAAAGAGACAGGCCAGGTCTTACAGACGACCCGCAATGCTGCAAAATTAAATCCAACCCAGGCTTGTGTCTTTCTTCAATATAAATATTTAAAATCTTTAATGCCGGTTATGGGGCGGGCAAGGGTGATTAACGCGCCCTACACGAAGGAACAGGTTTCGTTGGGTGGGGTCCACGTCACCTACCATGGTCTCTCAAAGGATATCTAGTTATGTGAGAAAAGGGGGAGAAACTGCAACACGGGTGCAGAACTCGTTGCAACTGGAACAGCTCCAGTTCCCGCAGAGCATCTCCTCTGACTCTCTGGGATTCGCTGTTTCCATGTCATTCTATTTCACACGCTACAGTTTAGAATTTCTAAGGAGAAAGACATCGTGCATCCGAACACGAAACCGAAATAAAAATGTACAGGAGATACTAAGAATAGGACAAAAACCTGCTAAGACTAAAATATATAAACCCTCCACAGCCGACAAAATAAAGCTTCCACGAAAAGGGGGCGGAGGTGCAAAGAGCCCTCTCCCTGTGAAGAGCCTGGCTCTAGGATCCCGCTTGGGCCACCAGGGGTTTTAGCACAACCACTAATTCTTTTCCAGGAGTCCAATTTAGAAGCAGCAAAAACTGAAAGGATGTAGTCTCGGCCAAGAACGGGGTTCCCTCCTTAAGGAATTCAAGCCAAAGGAAAGGAGAGAGGGATGGATAAG